CTCTTTCCTCCATGTCGGGATGAAAGTGGCTCAGATGCTCTTGCGGCACCAGCCCATAGGTTATACTGTACACTTATATGTATATAGGAATTTGTATTGGTCTTACTTTATTTTAGTTCCATAAACTAAAAGAGGTGGGCACTTTTAATATCCGCATTATTTAGCACATTATCCCAAATTGACTTTTTTATATTTTCTATAAAATATTTCTTTAACACACTCCAAAACCACCCATCCTTTTTTATCTTCATCATTTATTTATCCTTTTTTTTTTTTAACTCAAGTATCATGACATCTAGTTACATTAATCATTTTATCCATATTTATCTTATTTACTTAAATAATTTTTATTATTTGCTGATTGACCATTATAATTAATTTATAGATTATATTTAATTAACTTCTTAAAATTACTTTCAGCATGGTTTAAGGTTGCTTGATAAAAATTTGAATATATTTAATATTTATTTTGTAACTATTTGTGGTTTATTAGTAATTCTTATATGTTTTACCTTTTTTTTTTTGTTTTAATTATGTGTTGGGAGAGTTAATTTTTGTATAGCTCAAACATATTGATAAATTAATTAAAGATTAATAATTATTAATACTATAATAAATTTATATTATTTATGTATTTAAGATAATTTTGATAAAAGTTTAATTATAGTTTTACTTTCTTTAGTCTTTAGTTAACATATCATCATGTTTGAATTACAAAACAAATCATACGATGACATATAAAAACCACTTAAGAAAGAGAAACATATCAAATTCAGCAAAAAATTAATCTATGCAATAGAAGGATATTACATGAAATTTTGATTATGGTGATTCTATGAAACTTTGTAAGTGATTTTACTACTACTATACTTTTGCCGTTAATTAGTTATTTGATGCGTATGAAATGTATATTGAGACTATATCATTTTGTAAAAGCAATCAAGGTATTATCTATTGGAAGATGAAATGCTTCAATAGCTTTATATATGTGATGAATTGCGAGCTAGTGTGATGAGGTTGTGTCTTACATAAGAGATTATACAAATTAATATGCTTAGCAAATAATTATTTGGGCATTGTTGATATTATATAAATACTCTAGTTTTTGTATATATCTAAAATAACTAAAGCACTATTTTTGCATTTAGCCCCGGGCCAAATAAAGTTTAGGACTGGCTCTGATGGTCGTGCCAGTGATCGGCCACCATAAAATTGTAATGTAGGCGTATCTTCTTCGAGTAGACTTCCATTGTCGACGCCGAGGCAAACGGTATATCGGGACGTTCTGGGTCTTTCCGATGACGTTCCGCCCAAGACGGTCCAGCGCATCTCAATCTATTAAGGAAATCCATGAGAGTTTGCCTAATATTTGGAAAGATATGAAATCTTAATTTTAATTTTAATCATCATCACAACATAGAAAAACAAGAGAGTTGGATCAAATTTATGCTCAATAAGATGTTAAGCAAAATATACCCTGATATAGCCCTTTAAAGATATACCGATCCAAAGGCTCCTTCTACCCGCGCATCGAGTCGGGACGGGAAGGTGCTTAGGATCGACTTCATTCA